CCAATTATTACTATAGCATATCAGTTATATTAACAAACACATAAATCTGTCTGTGAGCAGTGCATTATCAAACAGTGCATCTTCTGAAATGAGTTTTGTTTTTCATAAAGTCACTCCAGCTCCTCACAGACGACCGTTCAGCCCTGTGCTAAGAACCAGTGTTAGAAATATCGGTGCTGAACAGTAAAATTAACTCCTGGGAATGGGAACAGAGGCGGAAAGCCTGTTGGCAAGGGAAACAACTACTAAAATGCATTCCAGCAAAAACAAACCACAAACACCCGGCTGTGACCAGCAAGACGAAACACAGAAAAATCCTCCTATCTGGGATCCTACTCTATGATAGCAGGCCAACTCATGATGTGTATGGAAAGTTAAGGTTGTTTCCTGAAATATCTTGGTGCAAGTTTGATGATTATGGGTTGTGGATGATGCATTATTGACGATAAGCTGACTTTCATGGTAATGAGTGGTGTGTGTTGACAGATATATAAAATTGAACCACAAAATTAAGACCTTCGGTCAATGTTTTTTCTAGGCTCAGTGAGAGAATGGACTCATGTCAATCAGGCATTAGATTCAAAGCCTTCTCTAGTCGCTGAACAAGTCCTGGATTACAGTTTTGCTCCGTATCGAAATGCCTTTCCTAGCACCTCAGGGAGACAAACTGTCCATCAGCCTGCTGCAGAATTAAACAGCATGTGTACCCAGTTCCAGATGTCTGGTGAGAAGCCCAGTTTTGTTGGAGAAATACTTGGCAGGAGCTCACAATAATTTCTGTTGCATTTCTTGATCAGAATTAGCCAGTCAGTTTGGAAGAAAGGGGTTTTTTTTGTAGCCTGGGGTTAATTGTGATCTACCAAAAGATAAGGCACTCAAGACTCTCACATGAATGACAATACCCTGCTACAACTACGCATAGTGCTGATCCTGAGACAAAAGACACTATTCTGAGGCTGTACCTATACCTGGGGACTCCACCCAAGTCAGCAAGCTGTCTTATAAATAAAGGTGCTATCTAACCCCCGTGGAGGTTGCTTGGTTGCAAACATGAGGAGCTCCACTGGTGTGAATGATGACTGTTTTCTTAAATACCGTAGGTTTTTGTAACAGAGCTCTACCACCCACTCCAAACAACTGTTTGCGTCTCAAGCACAGGTTACTCGGGTCAAGCCAAAGAAGCCAAGGGAAGCTCAGCAGAAATCCAAGACTCTCGGGAAATGAGTAGGAAAGAGGTCAACGAGAAGGATCCTCACGTAGAAGCACCACCCTTGCCTGCAGCATCGTTCTTGGCACAATTAGACAGCTATGCAACTTATTGGCCAGGTGCTGAATTTGTACATGACAATGAGAAGATTAATCACAGTAATTGCTTGTGATTGCACACATCCTAGTTGAATTGGGTGTGGCCGGTTTACTTCTCTGACTCCTTTAATTGGCTTCAGTCACCTTGCACTCAGACCCGCACCCCGTTTCATTAAGCAGCGACCCGTTTTATATAAAACATAGAAACCATACTGCACTCTTCTCTTCCGTGATTTTCCCCTTATTTTCGTAGTGACCAGCACAAAGCCAGAGCCCCCATGCATGGGCCTGATTACAAACAATGCCTGAGAGTCTTTGGGTCCAGCCCAAATCAACCGACTTCACTGGGAGTCGTCATGGGTTTCGTGTCAGCCCTTCTCTGGGCCATTTCACTGCCCTTCTACCAGAAGTCTATATAGCAGCTTCTGAAATTGTTTCAGGTCCCTTCTGTGCCAAACAACATCCCGGATCAGGAAAGCACCTCTGGTGAAGAGATCTGTGAGTGATTTTGGGAGTGGCTGCTCATGGAGATGTAAAACTGTCAGCTGAGAGCAGAAAAACATGTTTAGCAGAGTAATTAGACTGGTGATATTACCATTAGAATTAGTCCAGAAAACCTGTATTTAAAAAAAAATAATCCTTGCTTACAGATGCCAGATAAAACCTGAAAATTTGGTTTCTGAACCTGCAGAAGATGCTGTTGGTGTCTCAGCTGGAGCCAGCTCCTCCTTCTGCCTGGTCCTACAAGCATCTCCAGATAAATCACTCCGAGTTGAAGTTATCGCCCTTTGCAAGTCAACAGACCTTTAGGCCATACTCATGACCCCAAATGGACCTAAGCAGCAAAGCCTCTTCTTCACCATCACCCGGGGCGGGGGGTGGGGGGAAATAAAGTGTGAACGTAAATGAAAGTGCTGCTGCCAATACCAATTCCAATCCCTTGCCCATTCTTGTCTCCCAATCATGCTGAAGCTCACAAAATGCTAAAATTAAACATCTGATTTGGTAAAGGCATGTAACTGAAATGCAATCCAACATAACTAGAGGGCAAGGCATCATCAGGGTGACTTTAAAACTACAGTATTC